CCCAAGTACAAAAGAAACAGATGGCTAAGGGTCTTCCAGATCAAGTTTTCACCCGTGTGAAATTCAGCATTGCTTCTAACGCCAAAGACAAATGTAGATGCAGCAAAAAACTGTAGCGTTCCCACCACACCCAAGGGGTTGTTACAAAAGCTGCAATCACATCCTACCTCACACAGCGAATTGTTCCTTCATAATAGATTTAATGTGGTTAATTCTATAAGCTCAAGATCTAAAAGAATTCATTGTTTATTTGAGTCAATCATGTGCTTCCATCCGTAAGCTGGCGGAAGATAATCTGCAGCTCCTAAACATACAAATACACAGTTCTGACCCAAACTAAGCAAACCTACTGCTCCTCTTGAGCACTATCAGAAACATTCACCATAGGATTTGTCTATTGTTTTTTTATAAGATGATAATTACAATAGCAGAGCTCCACTTTACCATCAGTGTTGTTACACATCAGACAGACTTAGAAAATAAGCTGTTAATTTTCCATCCACTTCAGGGTCCTACAAGGACCCTATAAACACTGAGTTAAACAGTGAATCCCACCAATACACCCATTACGAGGGCTGTATTTTTATCCTCAATCAACTGCCTAGTCAAGGTGACACACAAAGTGCGTGGAAGAGCTGGAAAGTGACCTTGCATATTAGACTAATTCAGTGACCCACAATTTCTCTGACCGATAGATTATCTTCATACGACTACACTGAAGTCAGCCAAGAGCTATTCTAAAACAAATTTCTAGGGAAAACAAAAAGGTACATATGCTGCAGATCTAATTCTACCACCAGAGATGTGTCACTCGGGAACTGCCTCCGGTTACTAATTTTGTAAGGCAATTATCTGATCAAACAAAGCTGAAATAATATTGAAGTCATCAGTCATTACTGAGAGAAATTAAGATTCCTCGGAGTGCCCAGTATCCACGCTACTGATCAGAACACAGGAAAGACTGCAGCGCTAGAATTTACACCAATAGAAAAATGCTTATAAAAACTTCAAGCATATCCTTCATAATTCAGTTTCACTGTAGGTTATAACTATGTCTGCAGGAAAAACTTAATAGTGAGGAACGTATATGCACCTGCAAAGCAAATAACCTCTGGTGGTCTGAAATCCCAAAGGTCTGCTGCTGCTCCCAACCGCTTCACACGGCCGTACAAGCACCATGCACAGCCCTGTCCACACATTTTCATCCGATGCCTCAAAGACAGCGTCAGGGAAGGGAGGAAGACACTGCTCAAACTATTCTGGAAGCTTTCAGCACCACCCAAGCACACTTTCTGCAAACACATTCCTAAATACAAACTAACTACTGAAAACATCATTTAGTGCCACCAATTCCTGAAATGATTCAATAGCAGAGGCTTTTTTAGGGTCATAGCGTTTATAATACTGCATTAAGTTGACTTTTAAGATCTTTGAGCAAATGTTACTGTTTGTTGAAGTCTTTTTTTCAAATCTGCCTGTTACAGACAGGTATTTAACCACCCCTTAAGAAGATTTCTCCAGTGAACCAAGCCCACAGCGTGTGACAGCGCAACTTATGACCACAGAACACACAACGTGAAGATGCAACGTGAAAACACTGTAAAAGCAAAAGACAAAGATTTATTCAAGCTTTCTTCTCCTCACAAGTGGGGGATTTGAGGCCCTAGGTCCGTTTACAGCCCGCCCTGCAGACCCTGTCCACAGACCCAAGCAGGTCTGTGGGAAGTCCCGAGGACCCAAAGAGCCCTCAGTAAAGCCTCCCTGCAACGCCCCCCGTACCGACGCTTTCAACTCCGAAAAATCAGCTTTTCTTCTCTATTTCGGACGACTACGTAACATCGCCAATTAGCGCAACTCCCTGTTAATAAGCAGAAACACAAAGTTTCGCTAATTCTCCCCCTAATTACGTAACGCCTTAGCTACTTTTCTCCCGTACTCGGAAAAGCCGCGCCGACCCGCTCTTCACGCCAAGCCGCCCCTGACCGCTCACCTCAGCTCCCTCACGGCGCCTCGCTGCGCCGAGCCCTCAGGCTCCATCCCCGGTAGCCAAATGCCGCCAAGGGGACAGCAAAGCCGACGGCCTCCCCTAGCCCGGCCCGCGGCCTCCCCGCTTCCCTCAGCGCCGCCGCGCCCATTGGCCCGCGTGACGAGGGCGGGAACCGCGGAAGGACGGCAGAGCGCGGGGCCGCCCCCTGGCGGGCGGGAGGACCCCGGCGGCACCGGCAGCTGGGAGGTAGCCTTCGCACCCCCCCCCAAAACGGCACCCAAAACAGAGGAGGCGGAGGCGTTAAGCTCTGTCTAGTAGTTTATTAGATTTCGTTTCCAATATGCCTGTATTGGAAGATTTAGGAGACAAAAAAGGCACAAACTCACATTTAAAGAAACAACGAGATAACCTAACCCATCCTACAGTGTGTTGCCAAAGGAAAGAGCACGATGAACCCACCAGAACGCATCAGGGAGGCCCAGCGGGGATGAGCCCAGAGAGGTGCAGCATGGAGGTGACAAGAGACCCCGCCAGCAAACTGGCCTGACCCAGGCTGTGGCGAGGTCCCTGCCTCTGGACCCCCAAAACCCACCCAGCACAGGTGGGAAAGGGGGTCACGGCCCAACCGTCACCCCAGAACAGACAAACAGGCAACGATGACCCCGCCGGCAGCCGGCAGGGTGAGGGGTTCTTGCCAAAAGCCCATAAATGATAGAGCACAGCAACGCTGCGCGGGCCGCTACACTCACCAGTGGGAACCGAGCATCAAAAGGTCGTGATAGGATTTGTCTATCCCAAGGCTGAGGGATGCTTTCACTTGGGATTAAATTGGAAGGAAAGAAAGCAAGGAGGGGGAGGGAAGTATTCAGGCTGGAGTTCCTGCAGTTATTTTTTTTCCCCCCCCCAGTTTTTCCACTAATCAGGAAAGCTTTGTGTAAAAGCTCTTTCTCTGAAATCAGAGGATCAAAAAGGGATTGCACGGTGGAATGTTACAATCTGCTTCCATAGCGATTAGCGGCACCGGATAGAAAGCCTCTTGGATAACACAAACTGAAAGAACAAGTGTGCTACGTGTGTACTCAGGTTGTCCTCAAGCGTAGGAATCCCTCAAAACAGAGCTGACAAACACGAACAGGAGTCGGTGCATAAATTCTCAGATAAAAAGACTTTAAAGTGAAAGAACTATAAATGGGGCCTACACTTCTAAAATACTTCTTGAACAGCTATAGAAGATGCTGCGAAACATCTTGGTCCCAGATAGGCTTGCAGGTTAAAATTTAGTTTCGTCACCTATTTAATGATAAATTTGTTTTATTTCTGCCTGGTGAGATTGCTAAAAATCCCTCAAACCCCACCCCCACCCCACAAAACCGTCCGAGGTCACTGAGAAGAGCCTGCCAGAGTCACTGGTACAATTCAGAGCTTATTGCACTTAGACATGAGTAAGGCAAAATAACAAACTAAAAATGAAGGGATAAACTGCCCCCTCCCCAGGAACCAAATGCCATCCTCTCCCTCCAGAGCACACCTCGTCTTCCCTCGCACTGAAAACGGTTCAGATCCCAGCACATACTCGTTCCGCACGGCACGGGATCATGTCGGGATCTCCTGCTTGCAGGACTGTGAAGGGCTGAAGGAGTCAGATGTGTTACAGAAAGCCAAAAAAGACTCCTCAAAAGTGGCGATACACCCACAACTGTGTCTGGCGTTTAGAATTTCATGTTAGAGCTGCCAAATACAGAAATGGAAAATAAAGTGATTGCTACTAGAGAAAAAAAATATTAAAAAAATCAAACATTGGGCCTTAGGCATAAGCAAAGAAATGAGGTTTTTTTTCTCATATGTATTTAATAAAGCAGCATTTCTTTGATTCTGTTCTGCTTATTTGATTGTCTAAAGCTGATATCAACATAAGGACAGTTACAGTGTCTGAAGTCATTAAATAACCGGAGCTCTTTACATAGTTTAACAGTATCCTTTGTGATTTATAGTAACTGACAGCTATCCTAGAAAACAACTGCAGTTCTTTGTAAGTTGCTTTTTTTTATAGCATGAAAGGAGATACTTTAGTCAGTCTTGCAATGGGAAGAAATATTATTGCTGAGCAGAACCACCAACCCAGGCACCTGGGTGTAAATCAGATACCAAGACTCGACTTGTACACCAGCTTTTGCTACATCCCAATTTGTTCAGGGAGACTCAGGTTGTTATCAGTCAAAATAATTTTAGCTCTGTAAGTTATGGGAAGCCTTAGTAAATAAAGAACCAGGAAGTTGCAACATATGTCAAGCAACTTCTCATAACAATTTTGTACGACTGACGTGCACAGCTGAAGGACAACATCGCTATGCGGGCCCTGTGCCACTAAAAGGGACTCTGTGCCGCTAAAACTCAATGGTCATGTGCTGCAGGCCCTAGGACGGGGATGCTGAATGCAGCTTCTGTGCAGTCTTTAATCCATGTGTGCTAAGACAGAACAAAGTAATGCCGTGCAGAAGCCACATATCACAATTCATCGCAGACCAAGAACTAAATCTGGCTACACCTGATTATGTATTCAGATTACATGCCATTAAATTTCTTACTCTGGGAGCAAGGCTCAGAGCATAGCATTTTGTGGAATAGTTTTGCACTCTAAAATACTGACAGATTCCCCTCTCCAAACAGACATTCAAAGAATGGTGAAGGGCTGGGCAGGAACAAAGGTGGCAGTTTATCCCACTTGGAAAAAGAAAAAATAATAATAATAAAAAAAAAATAATCTAAGTCACCACATCACAAGACTATTTTAGCTAAAAATGTCACTTGGAAATCAAACAGGGCCACATGGAAATTGGTCTGAACACAATGAAAAAAAAGGAGGGAGGAGTCGTAAATACAGCGATCTCTAAGTCACACGTCTCCAAGGAGCTACCTCCTTCATATACGTGCTAACATTGGAGTGCTTAGTACCAGACGGTCTATTTGCTCACAATATTAAGGGGCATCTAGAATTAGCTATGGGAGATTTAAAATCGCCTGCCGATTGGATAGAGAAAGGCTTGATCCAGAGATGGTCCGTCAGTCAAGAGTGTGGATTCCCCGGGCCTTCCTGATGACTGTCTTGCAAACTGAAATAAAGAGACAAGAGGAAAACACTTTAGAAGCACTTTGGAAGAGCAGTGTGCCAAAAGGAGCGTCAGACTGAACCTACGACAAGCAAATGTGAGAGACACCGTCACGTGCAGACAATGGCAACACACCACTGCATCACTATGTTTCAGCACTGATCCAGAGCAGAATTCCCACCAGAGCCAAAAAATGACAAACAGAATTTGCACTTTAAACGATCTAACAACTCCAGAGGCTACAATACAACTGAGAAGACCATTGAACTCATTTCTCCAAGAACTGAAGTAAATGTGAGCGAAGACTAAAAAAGCTTAAGTTCCATTAAAAGATTAAAATCTATCTATCAGGAGACACTCCCCTCAGATACTCTCTCATCGTGTGTTCCCCGCTTACCAGCAACCAACCAACCAGCAGGTAAGAGAGGACAAGCAGAATTAAACAGCCTAGGGATTTGGTCAACAAAGATAAATTCATATATGCTCTCCAGTATGAGAGTCCTTCCACCACAGAGTTGGCATCCTCATAATGAAACAGATGAAAAACAAGTGAAAAGCTTGAAAATTGTCAATGCTGCTTCTCCTGTAACGTGCAAGTGTTGCTCCAGGCCTCGGCCCATTAGTAAATATTGTTAACAAATAACGTGAGAAACACATTGCAAGCATATTTGCAAGGAATTTTCAATTTCCAAATGTATTCTAAGTACTTACAGGTCAAACTTATACTTTCAGGACTGACAAAAGTTTCTCTGAAGTCATGGAAAAATAACACATGCATTACAGAAATAAGAATAGCAGTAAAGTCTACAAAATGTTCTGACATATTTTTCTTACACTTTTCACTCAGACATTTCTTTTGAATAGTTCTGAAACAAGACAGTAAACTTACTCGTCAACCTGTCAGTGAAACAGGCTCACTATAAAAACAATACCACAGATTTGCCTGCCACAAGTTACAAACAGGATCATTTCTTACCCAAATTTTTTCTCCTAAATAAAGCAATACAGAATTTTGGCAAACTCTCTAGATACCTACAGTGCACAAGGAAGAAGTCACGTTAGTCATCTGCAGCCGACATTCCTTTCACTGGATCTTTTTCTCTCATCTGAAAGAGAAAACACGATTCAAGCACTGATTCTCACACAACGTTACCTCAAAATTTATTGCTATGGAGCACGTTAAGCTACCTCTTTTATTTAAGACACTCAATTACATCTGAGCATCCCAAACCAGTGTTTGTGATTAAACACGAGCAAGCACCATTTCTGGTTAAGCTGCGGTCTGCTGGGGATCTGGAACCATTATCCAAAGGGCAGAGCACACATGAAACTATCATGAAGTATCCTGAGGCACAAAGGAAGAGAAGGGTGCAGTGCAGGACACAAATCATGGAACAATGTGCTCATTATTATCAAATCTGTGTTTCGTGTAGAAGAACCCTGTTATATACTCCCATTACCTGCTTGTAATACTAAAAAAAAGTCCTTTTACTGAACTGGTTTTTGGAAACTAATGAGGACAAAAAGGACCGTTCAGCTTTGGGTAAAAAGCTAATAGGAGATATTAAAGCACTAAATGAATCATTGCCACTCATCCCCTCATTACCTGTGATTTAACACATTTATTGGCTCAACAACAAACAGAAGGAGAAGTCCATAATGATTAGGAGATGCCAGCACAGCAGAGTCATAGCCAATCACTCAAACCACAAGCAGTGTGACCTAAATAGCAGGGGGACAACACACACCATGCTATGACAATGCAGCAGTCTTTCCTCTCCCTGCTGCACTGGATAGAAACAGTTCCTCGCACAACCCACACCTGCCCTGCTTTGCCACTGACCTCATCCAGCTGCCTCTTGGTCTCATCCTCCATCCTACGAATGTCCTCCATAGTCAGATCAACCCACTTATCGAGCCAGCAAAAGAGCTGCCGATGGAAGTTTGTGAAGAGACGCTTTTCTTGCTGCAAAAGGAGGAGGAATAAAACATACGAGCGAGCTTACTCATAGGGCAATTAATACGGCTCTAACCGGATCATAACAATTTTGAGAGATGTGTACACTGAAGAATCAGCTCCCTCGCCCACCCTTCTATAAAGCTGCCACAATTGGAAACCAAAGGTAGCTCATTTTTATTCTTTTAGGAGAATATCTAGAGCCTTGAATCCCCAGAGAAATGCATTTTTTTGTCAAGCCTAGACAGCAGCCTGCACAGTGCACGGAAAGAATTAGTGAATGCTTTAGTAATTTCCTTTGGTTTGACAGTATTGTTCTGACTGAATAAAGTGCTCCAGGTTGGGTTTACTTAGAGCATGATAGCTGAGCTGAAGGTGAAAAAAGAAATAAAATAGAATAAAAGTATTTTTAAAATAACCCTTGACTTGCTAAAAACTGGAGGTTAGCAAGTGTAAAGGAGCTGATATGCATCTATCTCGCTTTTTTTTCTTTTACAGTGACCTGAAAAACCCCTAAACTTGTTTTCCACAGCTGAAAACCTTTCAACAGAGGTAACTAATGTGCACAAGTTACTTCAAGTTAGGAGCAGTTTATTTCCATTTTATAGGAGATAAGGTAGACAAAATCATTACATTGGACAGGGATATACAATGCCTCTTGGAAATTTCTCATTAAGGAAGAACACTTCAGCTTTACCAATTATGGTTTCACATCTGGTAACTTGCTGATATCAAAAGCAGCTCGACTACTTTGACCCAAATGTGTAGGTGAAGAGACACTCATGAAGGGAAAGGGATTCAAGACACTGCTTCAGTTGGGGCTTTTCTTATGGGTATTTGAAATCTTGAAGTAGCATGGTCATTCCCCCTTACACTTCTCTTTAGAAATTACTCATGTGTTAAGTTAATGAAGTTTCCCCACCATCTGCTTATTTTTTAAACGCAGGTTTTTCAAGCAGCAGACTAGGAGAAGAAAACATGATGAGAGCTCTAGGACGTGCCAGAAAGATTCTCAACTGATTAGGACCAGAAAACTGAAGCTGTAGATATCTCCCCACAAAAACACATCTTGCCCCTGACCAAAATAACCCTGTATACACGCATCATTTCATCATTCACAAATCAACTACTTAATGACCACAATTCTCAGGTTGATCTATTAAACAACACAAAACAGCCAGTTTTCTTCATATATTAGAGTGAAAACGGTTTAACAGCCAATTCACAGAGGAACCAGCCAGCCCTGCCCTTGGATTAGCAGCAAATTAAATACAACTTGAACTGATTGCAGTAGATCAGGCACAGGCCTTGACTGCATTGCTTGAGGTGACACAGCTGGGTTTCAAGTTAATAGCTCCAGGTAGGATACAAGATTAGGAGAAGTGGAGGTGCTAAAGCAGATGGGAGATGAAACATGTCTCGTTTCCACATCTGTCCCCAAAGACTTCGCTTACCTTCTGTATAAAGTTCTCAACTTTATTTTGCAGACCCCACCACTTGAACTTGACCGTTACCAGCTTGTAAGCACACATGTATGGACAATCTGTCTGTTTCCCCAGCTCCTTCTGCAAAGACACAAAGGAAATTCACATCAGAACGCAGGTCAAACGTCTCTAGGAAAGCAGCTCCTTCAGTCATAACTATTAAGTCTTTCCTCAATTCCTCACAATCGTCTTCCTTACGCCTTGCCTATCTTTTATCAACCAGTTTTGCTCACCCCTTTTTCAAGGTATTTAAAAGTATCATGAAAATAGACCCTAGTGTCCTCCACAGGCGGCCTTCCCTCTCTTTTGAGGATGGACCACTCCTTCCTCTCCTCTGTTTTCCCTTTTTTTTTTCCATTAAATTTCTGTCTTTCAGTGGCTTCACTGTTGCACCACAGCTACTTCATTTCCTTAAAAGGCTTTTGACAAAGTCCCCATCTAAAACATTTTGGAAATACTTGTACACCCGTAGCTCCTCAGATCCCATTCAGGGTCCCTTTTAAAGACTGGTATCACATCTGCACTTCTAGAGTCTTCTGATTCCAATCAGTGTATGATTCCTTTCAGTGAAAGGGTAAACACTGCTGCTCATAACTCAGCTCTTTCATCCTTGATTTCTCTTGGGTGAACCTCTGGGCTGAACACCAGACAGTTCTGGAGATTTCTTGCAACTCATGCTATCTATTTGTACCAAGCTCTTCCATTTCCTTTAACTTCAGAACAGATCACGAGCTGAGTTTTGCGTTTCCTTTTGCAGAAGCGAATCCAACGCTTCACACATATGTCTGTGGCTCCAACTCCTGACATCTGTATTTCTGTCATGCAAGCCGATACAGTACCTGAACTCGTGCAATACTCACTCACCTTCCAGTTGGGACCCAGAGGTCCACGTCCGGTCTTGACAGACTTAAATTTTGCTGGGTCTTCTTCTGACTTGTAATCCTATTGGGACAGACACACAAGATTAAACATAAATTATCCTACTGTTACCCAGCTGCTCACCGTCATAAAGGATTTATTTTTCTGGTGGGCAAAAACTAACCTCTAACTGCCTTCTCAAGAGCTACTGCTTTCAGACTTCAACATTAGGTCAGGCACTCTTCAAGGAAACATATTTCTCCCTGCCGTGCTGTGTCCTAGACCTCTGTGAAGAAGTGGTAACAAACTGATGTGATCTTTGTAAGGACTCCTTTGGGGGAAGACTATCAGAAGATCTGTAAACTCTCAGGATGGGTTTCCTGTAACCACTCGCTCCTTGGGAACTAAACCCTGCTGCTGTGGGAACCAGCCATGCTCTCTGGAGCTGTGGTGTTTCTCACAGCTGTACCAGTATGATGCTCACATACTGCAGACTAGAAAAAAAAGCACAAATTCACAATACCACCAAAAAGAAAGAGGCATCAGTTATGCCCAGCAAATGATTTGCAATATTCCCTTCCTACATGTTGGATTAAAACCGGGGTGTGGACTATGCTCCTACCCCCAATTCAACTAAAAGGAAAACAAACTCACTCAACTCATCACCAGTTTAGGACCAAAAGTGATCCATTGGTAGCAGCTTCTTCAGGAGTCTTCTGCTCCAGGTGAATTCTCCTTGCTTTCTGGCAGTATTTAATTCAGAGTAGTCTGTATTTGCAGATACAGCTTACTACCTGCCTAACCTATCAGAATCAGGTGCTACTCATGTTTGACCAATTCATCTTTATTGGAAAGAAAAGCTAAAGTAAGTACTAGCTCCGGTTTAGTCCCCAAGGATAAGTTTGAGAACAGGCAAATTAGCCATATTTGAATGCTATCAGAAATACTAAGTGTGGAAATTCAAACAACATTCCATTTTCATATAGCTGGGCTTTTTTTCCTCAGTACAGGAACATCCCTTAGTTTCTTACAGTACCTGCAGTGATTCTTAGAACAAAATATTAGCTATGCGATTTTGAGATACACTTATGAAGCCATGGGGCAGTTTCAAATGGTAGCACCTTAAAAGAGATCCTGTATGGAAGGGGCAGTGCCATTTCTTGTTATTCAAGCATTATAATCAGCCACAGCGCTGTAGAATTATGTATATACAGTTACACGCACTGTAAGCGAGACATTTTAGAGAGTCTTGACATAGCTTTTCAAAGAGCTCTTCCTCTAGCATGCTTGAACACTTCTAAGGCATGTCTTTCCTCCTCTTTCCATCCTCTCATTTCTCCTGTTCCCTGTGACCATCCCTGGGAACACAGTTTGTACATTATCTCTCTTCTAGCACAAGGCCTCCCACACTAAGGAGCTCTTACCCACCTACCATACCTTGGGAAGTACTTGGCTCCGATCAGCAATGTCTATATAAATAGCTTCTACGTTCTTCCATACATCTGGCTCCAGCTTATGAACCTGCAGTAAAAGTACGAGACTAATGAAGCTGAGTCAACTACAGAACACATAAGATCATAAAAAAGATCATAAAAAAGCAGATGGAGAAGCAAACACCCAGTGTTCCCCTTCCATGTACAGAGAAGACACCATGGTAAACACACAATATGAGACCTTCTAAAGAAGCAAAGGTGCTCACACAGAACAGGTGTCTAGGGACAGTTTCATTCAGCGTGTATGAGAAGCCACCAGGAGGGAGTCTCTGCCTTGCCAGTGCAATAAGCGTTTCACATTCAGGAACACAGTGAATAGACAGCTCCACACAGCAATCCTCTAATCCAGCATGGAAAGCAGCATTGTGACATTAAAGAGATAAATAAAATACGCGACACAAGTACTTACATTCTCTTGTGTTCCAAGATCTGATTTATGCCAGGTTTCAATTTTGATCAGGAAGTCATCCTTCATATACTCGTTCTGTCATAAAAATAAAGCTTCCTGTTATTCATTGGATACGTAACTTGTCTTCTTTTTAACAAGACAAGCAGTAGGAAAGTCAACTCAAAGAACTATAACTTGACTGGGGTTTGACTTGGGGAACCCCAGAATTATCTGTAAACACATCATTCATTGCTTTTAGAAAAACTGTTTGATTACTAAGTACGCAAGATGAAATAAACCACAAGCTGTGTTTTAGTGAAACATTTGGAGTTTATAAAAAGCTTTTTCTTTAAAGGACACTATCTGCCACTCTGTTAAGAGTTTAGTAGGGGTAATGTAACTTAACCAGGCAGAAATAGTCTTTTCAAACAGATTATTATATACAGTATATATTTGGATGCAACTCTTCAAATGAAGAACAATATTAAACTGACGTGCTGAGAGCTTCTGACGCTGGGAAGGGAAGGGACAAGAAGCACAGTTCTGCCAAGTAAGCAAAAAACTTTCCATTTCTCATTATTACTGGGAGCAGAAAAGCACTTCCAAAGGTAACCCTATCCTCCCTCAAGGGAGCAGAAACAAAAGGATAGGCCAGTGAAACACTCAGCATGTAAAAAGGAAATACCAAATTCAGGAAAGAGATTACTCAAAGGCACATAGTCATGTGAACTAACTTTCTTTTAATCAGTTTATCCAGGCAATGGCACATTCCCATGTGTAAAGCTGAGCATCACTGCAGTAAAGAAAGATCTCTGTCCCTAGTTAAAGTGTTTGTGGATATGCCACAGTTGGGCAGGGGGTTTAATCTACATGATCTTACAGTGACAAAAGCTAAAGTGCCTCTAGCTCAGGCTAAAGAGCTTCTTATACCCAGAATGTGCCATTTCAGACATTACCTGTGCTTCCATAGATCATTAGTAAAAACAGTACTTACTGTAATAACTGGTCCAAGAAATCAGCACATGAAAAGAAAGAGACAGAGTAATTTAGTGAAAAAAGAATGTACAGCAACCATCGCCCTCCTCCCCCTATTAGCAAAACAGGGACAACTTCAGCTTCCCAGGGAGCTGCTGATACCACTGAGGAAAAAACCTTGGAATTCACTAAAAACCAGCTACCTTCACCCCCTTCTCCCTTGGAAATTCTCAGACTTGGAGAAACCCAGAGGAGCAGCAATTAATTATGTACTGCCACTTCTGCTCTCTGGACGCAGGCCAGCTGGATGAGAAGATGGAAGAAGCATGCTGAGCTGACGGCACTTTACCAATCCTTTCTCAGCTTGCAGATAAGAAACCTCTTTGCAGTTCTGAAGCAAACCCACACTGCATTTCAGGCCACTGCAGACCTCATCATGCCTGCATGCAGTAACCAGAGCCTCTGCATCTCTCCTGCTCATGGTAACTAAACTCCCTGGGTAGTAAGGCTCAATTATTCAACACAGAAAAGCAATTAAAGATCCTGTAACAGTCAGTGTCTGCTCTACCCGAGCCACCAGAGCACGTTAGCAATTCTGCTCTAAGAATAAGGATGTCTGAAGCTAGAGTTGAACTTTGCTGGTTTGTTCAGAAGTTTAACACGAGGGCTTTACTACAAAGCAATTTTGGTTTAAAGGTACTATTGCGATTTGGGAGTTTCCAACCCAACAGCCTGTAGACAGCACCATCCCCTGTCACACACATCCACCCTTATTGCCTACTGCTGGGCCTTGGCCTGCTCTAAACCCCCAACAATTTGAAAATTGCTTTTTACAGCGATTTACAGAAGACTAATTATTTAGACCGTCGTGTTGGGGTGGAGGGAGAAACCAAGCAAGCAGAGCTGAGGCTAATTGTTACAAGGTGAGGAGAGGAGTGGCTGGAAAGCTGCCTGGA